TAAGAGGACGCAGTCAGCGAGAGGGACCGTCAGGGTGGAGGGGAGCCTCCATCTCCCTGCAGTTAGCAGGAAAAGAGGCTCACCTTCAAAAGCCCTATGGCCTGGGAGTTCTCCCCGAACTCCCGTGGGGGTGCCAATCCAGCGGCACCTCTCCCCCTCGCTGCTGTGCCTTCCTAGAGAGCTGGGAAAGGCGTCCGCCATCGTTGTGTCGTAGACCCCGCCTCCACACAGTTGTCTTTTGATAGCCAACAAACCTCAGTATGAAGCAGCAACTGTTCATCATTAACAACACAGAGCTTCCAGAATAGTCAATCATTGAGAGCATGGGATTTAATTTTATTCACTGCAATAATGACAGTGTGTAATGACTTCTGCAGGTGACCACGAAGATTTTTTGCAACCAGATGTTGGCAATGAATGACACAGTGAATTTGCATTTGGTAGTGCTTTTTTCAGGAAAGCAACACACCCACAGTAGTGACCAGTCACTGATGGTGCTTCATCAGTTGCACAAACAAGTATGTTAGAAGTGGAATTTCCTCGTCATTGAAGAACCGGTCTTCCACAAGCAAGTATGTTAGAAGTGGAATTTCCTTGTCTCTGAAGAACTGGTCAACAACATGGAACACTGACTCCTCTTTAACATCTGTAAGGTTGCCTTGCAAATAACAACTCTTGAGCCAAACTGTCTTCTCTCCTTATATATAATTGAATAGTGGGTGCCAAAGTTCTAATTCTAAAATGCACTCCCTTAGTGTATGGCTGATGGCACTGCTCCTCAGCATATATCGCCACCAATCAGAAGGCAAAGCCCGGGTCCCGCCCACACCACAACTGCTGCGACAACCTGGTCTTTTGCATATGGAAGCTGATTGGACTTCACTCCATTCCACACCTCAAACTCCCCCCCCCCGCAAGGCAGTTGGAATGTCAGTTGCATATGGAATCTGCTGTATTCTGGTGATGTGCAGGTCCCAGATTCATGTTTTAAAAGCAGACTGACACTGTTTACCCAAAGCCAGAGCACTCTCCCAGAGCCTCTTTCTAGATCCCGTTGTATTTATTTCCACAACGGGCCTTATTTCTAGTCTTTTATAAAGCACACATAAGCAAAATTCACTGCCTGGTAAAGTTTACTCATCTAGCTATAATGAAAGTTCTGTTGTCCCTGGTATGCCGCACAACATATCTTCCACATTTTCAGTCATTTCATTTATGAGTCTTTGCTCTGAATTGTTGTTGAGAGGAATTGTCTCTCAGGACTTACCAGCAAAAACTTGGAAAAGGACAAAGAGACAAAAACACACATAGTGATGACGCTTTCTAAAAATTCAGATCTCTCCACCAGATTTCAGCACTATGCAGAGGCTGAAACTTGGAGTGCCATTTGCCAGCATGGTGCCATAACCTGGTCAACGTAGTCAGAGGGGCCCACCTCCAGTACCCCACCCACCCTTTTGTCTCTTAGCATCCCCCCAGGTAACCCCACCCTCTCAGGGGTGGTACTGCTGCCCCCTTTGGGAACCACTGGTCTAAAATTATTCACTAGTTACATACATCATAATTTGGCATGTCTTTATATCATTGATTTAATTTTGGAATTGTGTGGCTATTGATCCTCTGTCTTCTCACAGAAGACAGAAAATCTGCATACCTTCTTTTCCGATACTTGACAGAAATGTTACTCACATTTCCTTTATTCTATTTGTAGTCCAAGCTTGACAATGCTTAGAAATTTTAGTAGCTACATCTGGAATACAAACATTACTAGTTGACAGAGTAACTTCTATCAATACATTCTTATCTAAGGATCAAAGCAGCAAGTTTTACCTGCTTGAAAAAAGAGAAACAGAAACACTTCTGTTCATCATAATATTGTAGAGTTACATCAAAATGAGTAGTGTAAAAGCAGAGCAAGTCCCATGTTTATGGGTTATCCAGGAAAGTTGTTAAACGTTATCTGCATTGATAAAGCCTACAATGCTGAACGTATCACAAGTTCTGTGCAAAATACGCAACATGAAGAGGAAAAGGACATTTGATAGGGGTTTTTTTGTATCTACCTCAATGTTTTTGCTTATCAAGTTATTTAAAAGAACAATACTGGCAGTGGCTTGATACTCTTGACTGATAATGAATGTAACCTGGATGACCTTCAGAAGGAAAGGCTATAAATTGAAGAGGGTTACCTGGCCATTTCTTTGGGCACCAGCTGAAGTACTTGTTTTCTTAAAGGGCTCCTTGTTTCCAGGAGGGGGGAAAATGGCAACTTTAAACGAAAAAAAGACCTGCAGTCAAAGAATGGAAAATTTCCGGCGTTTTGTGTGGAACCCAGACACAGGACAATTAATGGGAAGAACCTTGATTAATTGGGGTATGTGGTCATGAACTTATAAAAAGTATAGAATATTGGCAATTTTGTGCTGCTGGGATGTGCTCGTTTCCAATGTTGCTATAAGACATAAAATTTGATAAATGACTAGTATGCCATATTAAAGAAAAAATTCAGCTACCAAGATGGTACAAGGCTGAAAAAGCAAAACTGTATATTGAAACCAATTTTACAAGTTCAACTGCCTTAGCAGCTGGTTCATATGACTTTAAAAAATCACTTAAGAGTGATTCAGAAATAGAATACAGAACTATTTAAAAGGGCCAGAAATTATAGTCTGTGGGAGAAGCAATACAAGAAGCTATGGCAACTTCATTCTCTTTTACATGGATCAAAAGAATCACGACTATTTCTGTTAACTAGAGGGAAGACTGGGATTGTTTTTCATGCTGGCACAGGGACTATCAATTCCAAGGAAAAGGTACAAAAAAAAAAACAAAAAAACAAAAGATGCCCTGACCTGGATAGCCCAGGCAAACCTGATCTTGTCAGATCTCGGAAGCTAAGCAGGGCTGACCCTGGCAAATACTTGGATGGGGAGACCTCCAAGGAATACCGGGGCCTGGACACAGAGGCATGTAATATCAAGCCACCTCTCTGAAATGTCCTAGCCCCACTAGGGGTTGCCAGAAGTCACGACGACTTCCAGGCTCACAAGCACATACACTCACTCACACACAATTTTTGTTTAAAAAAGACAATGGGCATGCCCAACACAATGATGAACCTAAAGCTTTTAAGATCTGGCCTTTATCTTCAAAGGGGTGCTATTATTTGCCTCTCAACTACTAGCTTCTGAAGGGATGTAATTTTTGTGTATAATTCTACTATGTTACTTATGCATGAGTTAACATTAGATACAATGCACATCCCCTCTCATTCTAGCTCAAATACCTTTTAAAGCAGCGAGTGAAATATTTGTTCCTTAGATTTCAACAGAAACATGTCTTTTTTTGCCCATTTTATTACAAATTTTGAATTCTATCTATCTATCTATCTATCTATCTATCTATCCATCCATCCATCCATCCATCCATCCATCCCTAGATACTGATAGTTGGAGATACATCCACAGCTTCCTTGCATAGTATCTGAAAAAGAACTCTAGTTATGTCATGAAAGGAGTAAACACAAAACATAAGATCAGGTCTGTACTGATGGATCTTTCAGGGCACATCTGGTCAGTCAGCCTCTACAGGGCACACTGGATCACACGTGGTATCCTATACATTTCATTCCATTAGCACTGCAGTCCACTGTAATTGGAAGTTCCTTCTTGGTCTCATTAGTGACATTGTACAGAGTCCTCCTGAGCCACATTGCTTTGGGAGAGGGAGGGGAGGGGATCTCTATATCTCCTGCTTATATGCTAAATTGGGAATGCCTATGATATCTTAAAGCCTAATGCAATTTTGGCCAGTTGCTCTTCATCCACAACCAACAGTATGCACTTTACTACTGTTCTAAATCATAACTGTACCGTGGAGCATACTACATCAGATAATTAAATACTGTGTTTTAAACCACAATTGCTGTAACCTATTTTAATGTTTTCTTAATAGTATGGATCAGCCTTTATTATGTTGCTTTCTATGTGGTGGTGACTGGGCTGTTTGCACTTTCCATATATTCTTTAATGAAGACTCTCAACCCATACACACCAGACTATCAAGATCGATTAAAATCACCAGGTACTATATGATTCTTCTGCCCATTCTATGAAAGCTATAAAATGTCCAGATTGCTAATTCTGTAGACAACTTGAAAGTATGGGGGGGGGGGGTTGACTTTAGTGTTGCAGCCTTAATGCTGGTGATCTCTACCTCCTCCTGTGGTGCTAGATTTTAGAAGGCTTAAGAGGCAAAGTTTTTATGAGAAGAAGAGAAGAAGAGATTGGATTTACACCCCGCCCTTCACTACCCAAAGGAGTCTCAGAGCGGCTTACAAACTCCTTTCCCTTCCCCTCCCCACAACAGACACCCTGTGAGGTGGGTGGGGCTGAGAGAGCTCTTGACAGAATCTGCTCTTTTTCAAGAACAGCTGTGCCAGAACTATGGCTTGCCCAAGGTCATTCAGCAGGTGCAAGTGGAGGAGTGGGGAATCAAACCCAGTTCTCCCAGATTAGAGTCCGCGCACTTAACCACTACACCCAACTGGCTGAGAACATCATTCCTGCAATCTGATTTTTCTGACAAATACCATGAGACAGAAAGTAAGGCAGGAAAACTCAGAAGTATTCTTTAACTTAGTGCACAAGGTTTTTATGTGCAGATGTCAATTAAGGCACTATGAGGTGATAGTAGATTGAAATAATACATCTCTGTATCGTTCCAATTTTAGTATATGTGCTGCCGAAGCGAGCATAAAAGAATACATGCAAAGAACCCTAAAAAACCCCTCTGCTGTAATTAATATGGGGAAATACACAAAAGAGGTTTAAATTATCACGCTATTATGAAGTAGTCTCCTGTATGTTTCATTCAACGCCCACCGCAGTGAAAAATAATCCGTGAAGATTATTTTTCCTAACTGAAGAGTGAAATACATGCGGTTGGAAAAATTTTAAATCTGAAAAAAGATTGCTTGCTAGGACCCTGCAGTGAAGTTGCAGAGATTTGAAGTGGCAGAATGAGTTTCACCACATCAGCCTACAGGTAAAGGATCAGAGAGAAACACATTTTAAAATTTCTCTCTATGCAAAATATACAAAAAACTCTCTGGAAACATAAAAACAGCAGAGCAAACAAGGAGCATTCTCTTGCATGTCCTGAGAACCAGAACTAAGTTTCTGTTCTCCAGGAAACACCCCAAATAGGTTTTCTGTAGAATAGATGTATTAATAACATTTCTGGAATAATGGAGATTTCTAATAAGCCCAAGATTGTGGGTGGCTGTCAGGAACAGAGACTTGATACACATCTATCAGTAAGTTTTATTTATATATAAATTCAGTCATAATAGAAACAAACGATGTAATAACACAATTGTTTCTTTTCCCCCCTTTAAATTTGTATAATTAATGCTGGTCTTCCAATAAAGGGGTGACATTACGACCAGATAAATATGGAGAGAAAGGATTGGAAATTTATTACAGCCTCTCTTCCAATAACTCCTGGGAAGGTTTCGTGACGTCTCTTGAAAGATTTCTTGCAGGTAACCAAAAACAAACAAACGGAACTATACTTACACGTTTCTAGTCCCTGTGGAGATGTTCAGGGGCATTTAGTTGATAAGTGTTTAAATTGGATTTTCTCTATTTTCCCAACATGTTGGTTTGTGAATTGCCTTGAGTCACTGTGGACACTGAAAAAGGCAGCACGTTACTGTTTTAATAAAAGATGCATGCACAATGGGCACCCAAACAGCTTTACAGTGCAATCCTAAGGGCTGCCCACGCCACAGCAGCCAAGCACCGGTCTAATCATGGAGCAGCTAGTCTGCTCTCTTAAAGGTTCTGGCAGAGACTGGGAGGCAGGCAAAAGACTGAGAAACAGGGTCGCAGAGGCTGCAACCACATAAGTGTCCCCAGCAACAATGCTGTTGCATCCCGTACACGTCACAAGGCACGATGACAGCACTGTGATGGACAGGGCAGTCAGGACCGATCATGGGTCAGCAGGAGCGGGGGCCCCAGCCTCCACATGTCACAGCTGAGGGTTCAGAAGGAATAGGGCCATGAACTGTGGGGCGGTGTCCACAGAACCCCCCCCCCCAAGCAGCTGAGTCCTGCCTAGCAGTAACACGGCACCTGACAGAGTTGGCAAGGGCCACAGCAATCTCCCACCACCAGCAATGCCAACCAGGTCCACGGCCTGGACGGTCCAAAGGCTGCAATCACTAAAAAAAGAGCATGGAGAGAAGACAAAGAGAGTGTGCCCAGTCACAGGTGTGTCCTGCTCATGGGTAGGGGTGCTTCCTGGCAGGTCAGGCATACGGCTGAGGGTGCCCCTGTTCCACCCCCACTGGCGGTGGAGTAGGGGAAAAGCCGCCTAGGCAGGCCACTGTGAGGGGGCATGCAGTGCCACCGACAGATGCCCCAATAGCCTCTTGGTGCGTACCTGTCCATAGGTGTCTCCAGCTACTCCTGCTTGCTTGCCACCCACATGAAGATAGGGTGGGGAGATGGGCTGCAAAGCAGGGCAATGGGTAGGAGGCAGAAGTATTGGGGCAAGAAGTCGGGCACAACACTGAACACAAGTAGGGGAATACAAGGCACAAGGGCTGCCCTGCCACTCAGTTATTTGGGGGACATGTGGCTGAGGCTAGGGTAGTTTCTGTGATCCCTTACCCACACATTAATACCTCCCTTCTAGATGTCAGCCTCCCAGGGTGACAGATTCCCACCCCTTACAGCAGGCACACATTCTCCAGGTCCACCCACTGGCCCATCTTCCCTTCACAAAGAAGCCAGGTGTAAGGTCAGCCTTGGAGGTGCTACTGGACCCCCGCTGTGTTTGGTAGATGACCATGACAGGCCATCTACACAACCAACCACAACCACCCAAGCATCAACATCCCTGGGTCACAGCCCTCCCTCCTGGACATGTCATCAGGCAGCCTTAAGGGGGAGTCTGCCACAGATGGGATGTACTAAAGGACACGATTGTCCACAATGGGCGAGGCTTGAAGGCCACTGGATATATTGGGAGCCAAGAATGCCAACTGACTTGCATTGGCCTACTGCAATATATCACAGCCCCCAAAAGTTGCAGTTAAATTGTGGAATGAATTTTGAATGAACGTCTCTGGGCCAAGAAAGGCTGTTCTGGGGCTGGAATGGCAGCCCACAAAGTGGAATGATGTAGTATGAGTGTAGTAGTAGTATGAGTGTTCTGCAATTGGAGTAGTATGAGTGTTCTGCAATTAGAATGGCAGCCCTTGGACTGGAATGACAGCCCCCGGGACCATATAAACTGTTCTGTAGCTGGAATGGCAGCCCCCAGAATGGAATGACACCTAGAGGTGTCATTCCATTCTAGGGGCAATCTATCTCAGGCCAGAGAGCTTCATTCAAAACCCATTCTGCACTTTCATTGCAACTTTTGTGTGCTGTAATACATTGCAGTGAGAGGGAAAGTGATATGTTATAGCCCAATCTCATCAGATCTCAGTACTTGGGAGACCAGCAAGGAAGATGGCAGAGAAAGTCAATGGCAAGCTACCTCTACTTGTCTCTTGCCTTGAAAACCCCTTGCTGGGGTCAACTGAGCCAAAGGAGGTGAGGAGAGAGGAATTATTGTAGGACATCCTGGTTAAGTTACCTGCTTTGAAAACGTTTTTGTAACACCACCTAAAAATAATTCTCTCCTACTTCGTCTATCAACCCATGTAGCATACAATGAAAGCGTACAGCATGACAACCAAAACTGTACTACAGAAGACTACTTCGTCCAGACGTCATTCAAGGCTCCAAATCACACAAAATTTTCTTGCAAATTTACCCGAGAGATGCTTGAAAACTGCTCAGGTCTGACAGATCCCACGTTTGGATTTTCAGAAGGAAAGCCATGTTTGATCATAAAAATGAACAGAGTAAGTATCAAAGTAGACATTTAAAAGCATGATTTGTTAAACTATGTTATTAAGTTCAGTCATCTGAAAATTGGTAGCCTTTACCAACAATCTGAAACCTGCTTATTCCACAGTAAGAGTTCTTTAGTACTCTAAAGACTGTAAAAAATAATAATCTTAAGATCACTATTTGTCTGAAAGAAAAGGGAGATGCCCAAATTCATACTACTAATATAGTGATTAGTGTAACTAACAATCCTAACAAATAACGCATCTGTCAGCATTCAAGAAAAACAAAAATAGGAATAAGACTTCCAATATCTAAAAGCTAGCTAAAAGAGTTCCTATACCTAAGTGGCTAAAAAGGGTGGAACACCTAAGGCTCCAAACATGTAGAGTTTACATGTGAGGTTAACTGGAACTCTCCCTACTATATCCAATGCTGAGCTCACCTGGTGCCATAAATTGGAATGAATTTTTGCATAAGCCAAGCGCTCACTGGCCTGGTACAAAAATCTCACTGCAGTGGTTAATGAAGAATTCTACTGTATTACAGATTATCAATTTTCGCCCTGGCCACGGCACTGCACCAAGAGTGAATTGCACAAGTCTAGTAAGTATGGGTGCCAAATCTATTTATAAAACTTACACACACACCCCTTTCTGCTTTCAACAGGGCGCTACCAAGGCAGCTAACAGATTAAAAAAGGCACAAAAGCACATCTTAAAACTACTGAAACCAAACAAAAATCACATTATTAAAACCAAAGCTAAAAATACAGAAACAAATCCTGTTGCACGGCAGTTATTTCTATTTCAATTAGATCTGCAACCCACACCTATGCATTCAGCATGAAGACCCATCGGTCCAAAGATTTAAGGGTGCATAATATAATAGCCATTGGGCATGTGCAGAGATTTGTGCTTGCAAAAAGTGTGGAGGAGGGGAGCTACTCTGGTGCAGAGAAGCAGGTATAAATTATTTCCAAAATCTCTTGTACACAGTCCAAAAACTAATTTATCCTTGCAAATATGTATAGTGTTCAAGGCCATTAGCTGCATCTCCTTGCAAACATATTTAATAAGATTCCAAGATCTGCTTTGTTTTTTTATACACCAAAGGCAGCAAGCAGCAAAATGAACTGAAATTAAACTTTATTGCTTCTATGTCCTACAAGTAGATATATTTTTCTGATTTGGCTTGTATGTAATTGAAGAGAGTACCACTTTTACTCCAGTAAAACTTACAAGTCGTCATGGTAAATGGTGTACACATTATATGTATCAAGGTTAAATGGGTGGCAACCCAAGAAAGAGTCCTCTGTGTACTGGGACCAAAATTATGGAACTCCTGTCTCCCCTGGGGAATTTGTCTGTCCTCATTAATCACTGCCTTCCCCCAGTCAACAAAGACTATCTGTTTCGCTTGGCATTCCCTCACTGGCCCTCCTTCCTGTTTATGTGCTTTTAACTGTTTATGTGTTTTGTTTAATTGTTGTTTTTTATTGGTTTTATAATATGCATTTTTGAAAGCTAGTTTTAAAGGTTTTGATTGTTCACTGCCTTGGGAACTCTGTTGGGTTGGAAAGCGGCATAAAAATGTTTTAACAAATAACTAATTTCCTAAGTTTTTCATAGGGAATACCAGATCATGTATTAGCTGTGTACCCACGACCAACCACTTATCATTTGAAAACATTGCCCCAGAAAAAATGAACATGCTGTGGTGGATCTCTAAAGCGGTCTTATCATCAAAATTTGGATTGGAGTGATTGATGACTTAAATCCTTGAAGATGATCAACCTCCAATTGTCTCAACTAAATTATTTACTTATCGTTCATACACTAGTACTTACACTTGCTTTCTCTGTAAATACTAGGAAGCTAATAAGCCAGTGGATGCACAATATTATCCTGAAAATGGTACCTTTAGTCTTCACTACTTCCCTTATTATGGATGTAAAGCACAGGTATGTTTCCCCCCCACAATCACAGTTTTAATTTTGAAGGATTTATTACAAATTTTAAAACAATGGAAGAGCTAACTGTTTATCTTTTTACTTTCATCTCAGCCTAGCTACGTAAATCCTTTGGTAGCTGTGAAACTTCTCAGCATTCCATTGAACAAGGAGGTAGCCATCGTATGCAGAGTTGTTGGTGCTGGAATTACTTTTGGTAATCCTCATGATCCATATGAAGGAAAAGTGGAATTCAAAGTTAGGATACAAAATTAGACAATAGCAATAATGACTTGAGAGTTCATAAAACACTGCAGGGTTTATGTATCATGTAATTTTGTGTTGCTTATAGTTTCTATTTTAAAACCTCTACTTTTGAACACAAAAAACATGTTTGGCACTTATCGCTTGTATATTAGTGCTTTTAAAGATGTTAATAAAATTTCTTCTTCACTTTTAAAAACACCAAGAAGCATACTATCTTCCTAACAGGGCAATTTTTAAAAAGATACATGTTTTTTGTAATTTCATTAGAAGTGTTTTAACCAATATTGTGTATTTTTCAAAAATATTAAATGAAATAATGTCATATGTTGTAATGCTCACCTATTACGTTTGGTATAGAGAGAACTTTGGGCATAGAGCATGGGATATTCTGGACTGTTAAAAAGTTTGAACAGCAAACTCCACAACTGAACCTCTTTCCCAGTTTAATATAGCTTAGCCCTGAACTGGACAGCCCAGGCTAGCCTGATCTTGGAAGCTAAGCAAGGTCGGCCCTGGCCCCTGGCAAGGAAGTCCAGGGTTGGTAGCTACATAGAGGCAGGCAATGGCAAACCACCTCTGAATCTCTCTTGCCTTGAAAATCCTGCGGGGTCACCATAAGTTGGCTGCAACTTGATGGCACTTTACACTCAAATAGCTCAGTCAAAGACAAGTGAAATTATTATTTGAAACGAACACATAAAAGCTGTATTTGGACAAGACTTAGCTGGGTGGCGTTAGAGCCAATGAATCACAAGCAGAACTCTTAATGGAGGACTTAATGGAAATCTGTTCGAAGTTAGACAGTGACAGCTACTTGGTAAAGGTAAAGGTTCCCTTGCTCGAAAGCCAGTCGAGTCCGACTCTAGGGTTGCGGTGCTCATCTCCGTTTCAAAGCCGAAGAGCCAGCGCTGTCCGAAGACATTTCCATGGTCATGTGGCCGGCATGACTAAACACCAAGGTGCACGGAACGCTGTTACCTTCCCACCAAAGTGGTACCTATTTATCTACTTGCAATTTCTTGCTTTCGAACTGCTAGGTTGGCAGGAGCTGGAACTACAGACGGGAGCTCACTCCGTCATGTGGTGCACTCGGGTCTCGAACTGCTGAACCACCGACCTTCCACAGCCTGCAGTTCAGTGTCTTAACCACTTGAGCCACTGCAGCTCCTTGGTACAGGGGTGTTAAACCTACTGCTCATGGGCTGGAACCAGCCTGCCCAGGCCTTTAATCAGGCCCCAGGGGGGGTCTCTCTTCTCTCCCCCCATACCTGCCAGTCCTTGCAGTTCTGAGCTTGAGCTGCCTTAGAATATAAAGAGCAGAGGGCAGGGCAGCCTCTGAGCAGAGCGCACAGAACGGGGCTGCCAAACTTCCCAGCCACCCACTCCTAGCCTCCCTAGTCCTCCTCACAGGTAGAAGCTGGGGGGGGGTGTGTGTCCCCTTCTGCTGTGACCCTTGTGCTTCAACTTGCTTTGCAAAATCCCACTATTCTTCCACTTTTCCAATTTAGGCAAACATGTTTTAAGGGCATGGCGGGGGAAGTTTGGGACCAGCCAGGATTAAAGGAGATTTGGGACCGGCCAGGGTTAAAATGTAGAGTTCTGCAAACTCAAGGGACTCCAGTTTTGCAGAAATATTAGTTTTAACACACACACACACACACACACACAAACACACACACACACAC